CCTCTGGGTTTCAGTGCCCTTTGCACACACCTGACTTCCAACACTTACTAGTGATGAGGTACAATTTGTAGGAGGAAACCTCTCCCGTGGAGGAGATGTTCTCCTCCCTCAGCCAGCCCTCCATCGCTCAGCTGTGCACACAGCACCTTCCCCACACACTTTTTGGTTCTTTTTTTCCCCCACATTTTAAATATGGCACAACTGTTTTCTGTCCAGACCAGAGGAGAGAGGTCCAGGCACAGCAAAGCAGCTCCAGCAGGTCCTGAAGGACAAGGCAGGGGCAGGAGGAATTCCTGGTGAGTGCAGCTGAGTGCCAGGCACAGCATCTCCATCTGCTGGCACTCAAAGCCCAGGACATGCCCTGATCACTCATCCTGCTTTTCACAGCCCCAGATTTGTGGGTCTGCACTGCAGCACAAAGGTGTGCACAGCCAGTGTGAGGAATTGTTCCTCCAGACTAACAGGGATGTGTCCCCCTGGGAATACAGGCACAGAGGGATCCTTGGATGCTGCTCCACAGCCCTCAGCTCTGCCAGAGATATTAAAGAGTTGTGCATTTGTTTGGGGGTTCATTACCCTGGAAGATTGACAGGCTCCCACAGAGTGTTTATATGAATCTGTTGAGTCTCTACATTTAATTACACTCGACTGAGTGCATTAACACCACCATGAATTTTTAAAAGCTATCAGTTTTATTCTGTTTGACTCCAAACCTGACAGTGTGAGTTGCTTTCCAGCACATCCTCCCCTCCAAGCCCTTTTCCTGGGTGGCTGCAGCTGAGCTCTGGCAGCTTCTGACCCTGGGGAGACCTCCCCCCACAGATCCCACTCCAGCAAAGCCTCATTGCCAGCAGGAAAACACCAATTCCAGCCCACAGGCCCTACAGGGGATAAGGTATCTGCCACGAGTCACGACAGGAAAGGCTCATTATGAGGGAAGAAATACATTAACAAGACTGAACTGGCTCAGAGATGGGCTCCCTGCACTGGGTCAGCAGCACTTCCCTCTCCAGACCACCAGCTCCATCAGAAACGGCCTTTATTCAGGAATAAATGAATTTAGTTCCCAGTTGCTCCTGCAGGGCATGAGACAACACACAGCTCCTCTTCCCAGGGACCCCAGATCTGATCCCAGCACTTGCCCCATGGAGAACTGGCAGAATCCTGAAAGGTGAGCTGCTTAAATGCTAGTGACAACACATGCAAACACAATATTTTGATTTCAATAAGCTGCCAATTAAAAAAATGAACTGGCATGAACTACAGCAAGAGGAGAATCTGGCACTGGCAGGGTGGACAGGGAGATTTTCCTGTTAACTGGAGTCTTTCCCACAGCCTGGAGAGAGGCAGCATCTCGTGCTATTTTTAACCTGCTCAAAAGGTATTATTTAAAAGCTGTGAACTTTAAGTAAACAGGGACATCTAATAAACATTAGAAAACTTGCAAAAAGCAGCTATTCCAGGCAGATGAAACCATACTCCGGTGATTAACAGCACCTCAACTTTCAAATAGCTGCAGCCAGAATGGCCATCAAGCAGTTGTTCCAGGCTCTACTGCCTTGTACCTTGTTTTCTGCTGCCTGGGCAGCCAAGTCAGGCTTTAAATACTTGTTTAATCGGTTGGTAAATGGGGCAGTTTATTACCTTCCTGCAATTCTGCCTCTCACCTGCACTGCAGCAAAGCAGCCCGACTGCTGTAGCACAGACCCTCTCCCAGACACTCCTGGGGAACAGGGACAGGGGAGGGACCTTTTCCCAGCTTAGCTGGCTGTGTTAACCACAGAATCCAGAATGGTTTGGGTTGGAAGGGACCTAAAAGCTCATCCAGACCCACCCCAGCCAGGGGCAGGGACACCTTCCACTGGACCAAGCCCTGTCCAACCTGGCCTTGGACACTTCCAGGGATGGGGCAGCCACAGCTTCTCTGGGCAACCTGTGCCAGGGCCTCATCACCCTCACAGGGAAGGATTTTTTCCTAATATCCAATTTACACCTGTTCTCTCTCAGTTTGAAGCTGTTCCCCCTTGTCCTGCTGTTACACTGGCACTTAAATAGCTGGGGGTGGAAGTGTGACCCCCCCGGGAAGCATTCCCCCCGTGCTGGGACAGCCTGGCCTGGCCTGTGCATCACCTGGTGGCACTGTGCTGCCCCTGGAACGTCTCTCCAGCCCCGACAGCCCGAGATTTCCATCTGTTCCCTGGGCACTGCACCAGCTCTCCCTTGCACACCACGCTGATTATCAGCACGGGCTGATAAGCATAATTAGAACCGGGGAAGTAACAAGGTATTACAAGTGACTCCTTATCAAACGAGCACAATTCTTAAACCTTTGATGTGAAAAGTTTTATAGAATTGGTAATTAACTTTGTCTGAGTGCATCAGAATCTGACCAGCCACCACGGCACCTCTGGAACCATCAGAGGCAAATCCCCACTGCAGGTGCACACCCTGGCCTCCTCACACACCAGGCACGAGCAGGAAAGACAAGAGGTGGACAAGATTTCTTTGACTCCCTGTTTTGTGCCTCTCCACAGCCCAGAGATGTCTCTCCAGGGAAACAACCATCCCGAGTCACCACGGCGCAGTTTGGGGGATAAATCACCGAGGCAGGAGATGCTCTTGTGGAATAATTTCAGAGCTCTGAGGTTACTGAGCCCAAGATGTGATCAGCACCACTGACACGTGGCCCATTTTTTACATGGCAGAAATGTACCAGTGGTGTAAATCAGGAGGAGGTGAGTGATAAGGGGTGAGCTCAGCCCTCAGCAGCAGCCCCTGTGCCAGGCAGGGCATCAATTCCTGCACGATGAGAAAATGAAGAAGGATGACACATTTCACATTATTGATCCTATCTATTAGAGATAAAGGCAGGTCACTCCATCCTCCCCAGCTGCCTCCTCATCCGTGGCATGAGCACACAGGGGCTGCACAGGAGGGGACTGGCAGCCTCAGGGAGGTGCATCCTACAGTCCCACACTTGTGGCCACAAGGGACACTGGAGGTGGCAACAGCACATTTATCTTTATAATTCTTGGTGCCAGGTGCCAGGGGAGCAGCTCCACACTCACACACAGCCAGGCTCCCCATCAAAGCCCCCATGACACCAGGAGGAGTGACCCTGAGTGCTGCTTTCTTGTCCCCCAGTTCCAGCTCTGGGCTCTCTGCAGCCCAGATCTCCTTTGGTAACACATTCAACCCATTTCCCCACAAGTCCTCTGTGATCTGGTCTCATTCAGTCTGATCACAAGAACTGAAACTTGGACTTGTGATGGAGCCCAGGTTAGAAAGCCAGTCCTCTGTGAGTGACAAGCTGGTTTGGGGTTTTTTTTAAAAAAACTATTACAAGTTACAGTTCATACACTGTGGTTTAATTGCATTTGCCCTCCAGCCTCTCCATTAAAAGTAGAACAGAAACCAGCACTTCCAGAATGGAAATGAGAAGGAGAAGAAACCCTCATAAAGAGCAAAATGCTGTGTTTGGAGAGGAAGAGTAATTATTGCCACAGGTATAAAAAAGAGGGAAGGAGTCAGATTCGGTGCCACATCCAGGGGCCAAACACAAGTTATTCAGACCTTTCAAAATGAGGTCACATTGTCACCAGAGGCAAAACAAGAACCACAGGTTATGGCAGAGCTCATGGATCGAGCTGCTGTGCCTGAAATTCTGAGATGCAACGGTGAAAACCCTGAGCTGGAAAGAACTGAACTCACTATTTTAGGGAACTCTCCCTGGAATTCTGTTCCATGACTTCACTGACACCAAAGGAGGGCAGCCACCAGAAACACTCAGGGAAACCTGGGACCCAAGGCAAGAGCCATGGGGGTGCTCAGGCAGCAGGGAGACATTCACCCCAGCACCCTCCCCTTCACCTCAGCACCCCCCCTTCAGCCCAGCACCCTCCCCTTCACCTCAGCACCCTCCCCTTCACCCAGCACCTCCCCTTCACCCCAGCACCTCCGCCTTCATCCAGCACCCTCCCCTTCACCCAGCAGCCCTCCCCTTCAGCCCAGCACCCCTCCCCTTCAGCTCAGCCCCCCCCTTCACCCCAGCACCCCCCCTTCAGCTCAGCACCCTCCCCTTCACCCCAGCACCCCCCCACCCAGCACCCCCCTTCACTCCCAGCACCCCCCCTTCGCACCCATGCACATCCCCCCTCACCCAGCACCCTCCCTTCACCCAGCACCCCCCCCTTCACCAGCACCCTCCCCTTCACCCCAGCACCCTCCCCTTCAGCCCAGCACCTCCCCAGGCTCCAGGAGGAGGAGGACCAAGGAAAGCTCTGCAGAGGACACGAGCAGGAGCAGCAGCACTGAGCCAGCTCACCCCTGCCAAGAGGAAAAGAGCCACCAAGGGTGGCAGAACCGGCTCTGCAGCTCAGACAGTCTCTGCCAGACAACAGCAACAGGAATGTTATGAGCCGATGAGGAGGAAAATACTAAATATCTCCGAAGGCTGCTATTTTTGGTTGAGGCATGGGTAAACACTAGCACAAACAGCACGTAAAAACCAGCACATTTTGCACTCTGGATTCATTCTCTGGCCAATATTTTCTTTACACAAGTCACTCAAGCTAATATGTAGGAAGCATGAAAGCACTATTTCTGCTTTGCTGGTTATCAAATGGGATTGGAGTAGCCAGGGACATGCTGGCTACGTCTCCAGAGGAGAAGCCAGAGCAGTGAATCTGCATCCTGAAGGAAACCAGTGAGTTCAACAGTTCTGCTGCAGCTCAGGCAAAGAGCCACCCCTGTAAGCCCAGCTGGGTCACTGCCACCCTGCCCGGTGCCAGCCTGGGCCAAAGTTTCAGGGACTGTAACCTCCAGCCCCCGTGTTGCCTCTGTGACAGCACCAGCAACAATACACTGAATTTCCATGGTGTCTTTCACAATGAAGCCACCTGACCTGCAGATTCCCATTTGTGGCCTTTGCTGCTCTCAGAAAGGAAAGTCAGCAAGTGAAAAACCATGCAAAGTCCAATTGAAACGGTGGGAGGACTTACCTGGCCCAGAAAAATGAGGTAAAATTTGAGGGGAGGAGATCCAGGCTTTCCAGGCTGGCTTCTGACAGGGATGACACTGTGAGGCTCAGCAGTGTCATCTCCACTCTGTCACAGGAACAACTCTTCCCAGGAGGCCAAATGACTTAATAAGTCTTGGGTCCTTGTCAGCAGCAAAGGGGAGGGACTCTCCCTGGGGACCAGCACCACCCTCCAGGTTCATCACTCAGCAAGGAGGAGACAGCAGCACCCTGGTGACCTGTGGAGATGCAGAGGAGTCACAGAGCACTCTGCAAGCAGTATATATTCTTTAACTGCGTGTTTAATTAAATAGAATACTCGTGTTTTATATTAAACTCACACAGCAGCTGACTATTTAAAACACACATATCGAAGCCCGCCAACAGGGAATGGCTCCAGAGCTGTTCTCCAGATCAACTTCCAAGAGAAAATGTTCCTAAATGTCTCTGAGGCTTTTCCAAATGCCCCTCCTGGGACAGGAAGCTGGTGTTGCTATGCAGAGAAATGGGTCAGAGCCACTGGGCTTGAACTTAAAATATTGCTTTTATTGCTCACCCTGAACATCCTGAGTCGACCAGCAAAGAGGAGAGGCAGGGCCAGGCGGGCAGTCAGCACATTTGCCACGGTGCTCTCAGGGCTGGGAGGGTGATGGATTGTTTCCTGAGCTCCATTTGCTGTTCCCAGCACTGCTTTCCCATCTCCCCTGGCAGTGGCACAGTGCCATGGGCTCTGCCCTTGCCAGCCAGTGACTCCTGGCCTGGCCGGTGCCACCCTGCAGAGCTGGGATGGATGGGGATGAAACAGGCTCTGATTGCAAGGGGAAACCTCAGAGAGGGGCAGGGGGAGAGGGAAAGGCTGGTGTGACCTGAACAGGCACCTGGCTGTGCCAGAGCGTGGCTGAGGTGAACAGGGTTTGGCTGGGGGAAAAGAGACCCAACCGAAATAAATCCTCAAAACTCCAGAATTAATCTGACTGCAGCTTCAAATCGTTTATTTTGCAATGCATGTCTATGGTTGTGCTCACTTCAGAACTGGCACAGACACAAATATCCTGTTCCCAGAGCAGAAATCACCGGGTTGGGCATTTTCACATACAAGTGCATGACACTGAATGGCAACAGAGGGTTGAACAAAGCCCCAAACACAACCACAACATGTACAATCACAGCTGGCAACCGACAGTTTTAACCTCCTGTCCAATGCAAAACAACAAATCTATTTCAAACCCTGTGAAATTAGGTAATGGTTGTAATGCTAACTAAAGCTCGCAAATTTGAAATAATAAACAAGGGTTACACGACTTAATTTTACAGGGACTTACTACTTTTCCCCTCCAAACTCTCTAATTTGTTGCTATAATTACATTAAATTGAAGCTGAGTTGTTTTCAAGTCTGGATCTAGCTGGAGATTCTTGTTCCTATTCCAGACCCAAAGAGGAATCTGTTGCCCTAAAGCCTGTCCAGTCTCTAAATCTATGGACTGGATACTCTAATTTCACTATAAACCTCATTATCCCATAGCCTTAGATCCTCACTACTACAACACTAACAGTAAATTACATAGGACTAATTATGAGGGTGAAATAAGCACCCAAGCAGTGCTGGGGAGAGGCTGCAGCCAGGGCATTTGGAGAGGGATTGGGCACAAGGGCAGAGGCTGTGACTTCACCCTCCTGTTTCCAGAGCCTGCAGGCACTTACTGGTCAGTGGCCCCAGACAATGCCCACCCAGTCAGAGCACCAAAAGGAGCCCATCACCTCGCTTTTAGCTCTGCTCTCTAAAGTTTTAGCTCAGTGGGGATGTTGGTTTTCCCTACAGGGAAAACCTTTAGATCTTGTCCTCCTTTTTCCTTTGCCTTTTCCACTTTGGCTCAGGAGTGAACTTACCACAAACCCCCGTCCAGTTCCACCAGGAATGAAGCAGAACACGACAGTCTCTCAGTCACCTCTCGGTCTGTTCCAGGGATGGATCCTGAAGTCCTGCAGGTCTGACACACACAGTCCTCAGGGCCTCAGTGCCCAGGACTCCCCAGCCAGCAGACTGAATTCTGCAGAACACTGGCCCTTCCCTCTGCCCAAGTCAAGGCAAAAATGAATCAGAGAATTTGGGGGGGAGGGCAGGGAGGAATCATTTGGCATTTTTTACATTAGCTTAGCCTTTTAACCGAGATCCATTTTAATGCACCACTGCACTAATGAACTAAAAATCTGCATTAGAAAGCGAGTCCTGGTGGGAGCAATGGACACAGCACCCTGGTGGTTTAGAGATGCACGACCTGAGCTGGACTCGGGCCAGACCCCCCTGTTCAAACAGGGGGAACAGCCAAAGGCATCCCCTGAGCAGCTGGGATTGATGCCAGGGCAGGCTGAGCAAAGAACCCACAGTGGTGCCCAGCAGAGCCAGAGCCCTGCTCCTGGCAGCCCCAACCAAAATGCCCAGTGGCACAAACCTCTGCAGGGCTGGACACAGAGGCAGCCTCCCCCCAGCGTCCACCCGAGGGCCCCACTCGTCCCTGGCACTGCACCACCGTGTTTCTGGCACTGGCAAAGCTGGTTTTTCATCACTTAATGCTGTGCACCTGCTGGGTTCCACATTCCCTAACGCAGATAATAATTTCCTCATTAGGAGAAGCCATTGAATCGATAGCACCGAGCAGTGGGTGAATTGAGGTCGTTTGTCTGCTAAGACCAGCACTGCTCTCATTAAATGTGCATGAGCAGCACCCCCCTCACTGCAGGGCTCACTCTTCCTCCAGCCCCTTCCACGGGCTGGTTTTTCCACGGAATTTTCCTCTGCATTTCCCATTTCTACTGAGTGAAGTTTCCCTTTGCTCAGGGCTCGCCCTGAGCCGCTCCACGAGCCCTCTCTCACCCCTGAACGTGCCACAGCAGCCACGTTCCAGCTGCCACAGCAGCCACGTTCCAGCTGCCCCTGCTGCCACTGGGACCACGGGAAGCGGCTCCACCGGCACCGGGGTGGATGGCAACGCCAACACCTCTGGAGCTGGGAAAGGCTGGACCCTGGAGAGCAGGCAGGGCCGTGGTTCATGATGGCACCTTAACTGTTCTGGGTTGCTACAACAAACAGCTCCCAGCCCGGGGCCACCTTTTGCCATTTTCCAAGTTAAAAACAGAACTGTTATTTAGCCTGGAGCTGCCACAACAGGCGTGAAATCCTGTCTGAGTCTCCTGGTAAATGATCCTTGTTATAAGGGGAAAAGAAAAGACTAATGAATGCATCCATATGAGCCATCAAGAGCAAAATAAAGGCAGGGATAAAGGAAGATAGAGGCAAAGAATGGACATGTTTTCTGCCAATGTCATTCTTCACACAATAGATGCAGTTTCTTTCTTTCCTCAGATGGGAAGATGGGCTTGACACCATCTCATCAACAGCAGCTGTAATAAGAGTTCCTTGCTATTAATATGCAAATTGAAACGCACACACTGATTAAAACCATGTTAGACAAAGGCTTTTGTCAGAGACCCACGAGCAGGAGACAGGGCTCGATTAGGGAGCAGTGGCCCTCCACAAAATCCATCATAAAGTCCTGCACTTGAGCCCAGTGCAGTAACTTCATGGGGAACACATTGCAGTGCTAATGGACACCTGCTCTCTCTCCTGAGATCCCAAAAGTTCAACCCCCAAACTGGGTCCCAGCTGTCTCCAGAGGTGCCCCAGCCCCGGGGGTTCTGCACAGCCCCTCCTGGTGGGTCAGGGCTGGCAGCTGGTCGGGTCAGCAGCCTCAGACAGGAGCAGGGAGCTGCCAGCACAGCCCCGAGGAGGAATCAGACTTCCCCATACTTAATTTGGAGACTATGGAAGGTGGTTTTAAAGGTCAGGACTTGCTAATTAAGTTGATGCAATAGGAACTTAACAAAGGAAGCAGCACCTAGGTACCAGGAGCATTCTCCCCTGTGATTAATCTCTGTGTGAGGCTGTCTGGGGCAGCCTCACGTTACACCCCGTTGCCATAGAGCTCTGTTGCCTCCACACGGAGCCAGATAAAACCACACACTTGTGTTGTGCTGTGTCTGAGCATAAAACACCACAGTGTCCTGTCCCCAACACATAACGTGGCACATCTGCACCAGAGCCTAGAGAGCTGCCTTATTACAGGCAACAAACTCTAATAAAACACATCCAAAAGATTACAGTTCCAGTGTTAACAACCACATTTCCAGCTGTCTCCCACTGACAGCACTATTCCAGTTAGCACTGCTCTGCAAAGTTTGTGTGGGGTGACACCCAGCCAGACTGATGACAAGTTATTGAGATTTACTTCCTCTACAGAACATCTTGCACAGAATTTTAAGCTGGGAAAACATTTGGCCAGAACAAAACTAAATTCTGTAATGTATAGATAGATGGAATGCATGAAAAACGCAGAGTGCGTGTTTGGTTTCTTTTTAATTAAGAAAATACATGCAAGTGTTTTCACCCTTCAGTTTAAAGTAACCCTGGGGGACACAGTGGTTGCACTGAACCATTTTCAAAGTTCTCTGATACATCCACTCTCAGTGTTTCAGCCTGGGGTGGTTGGACCAGGCTCAACATCAGAGATCTGGCAGCACTTCTGCAGGGATCACTGACTTACCACGAGGAGATTTGTCTTTTTATGTCTTGCTTTGAAGGCCTAATAAACTTAGGAAAAGCAAGAGATTAGAAGGATTTAGGAACCAAAGCCTGATTGACTGGACCAGGACAATATTTGCAACAAACCCAAATGTTGCACTGCTCTGTCACCCCAGGAGAGCTGGGGGGATGTGATGGGGCACCTCACCCTCACTCACCTGCTCCTCACTCACCTGGGCTGTGTGGGAGGTGGGATGTGGGACGTGGAAATCCCACTGGCAGCGCTGACCCTCCTGCTCTGAAGGGCCACAGGACAAACCTCCCACCCGAGAGGTGCTGGAGGGGCAGAAAGTCTGGATCTTCCTAAATTAGAGACAGGACCTCTGCCTTTACTCATCCTCTTAGACCAAGCAAGCCACCAGCTCCGGGCCAGGTCCCAGAGCCAGGGCAGGAGGACAGCCAGCCTTGCACAGGCTGGGAGCAGAGGCCAGGTCTGACCCAGCTCACTGCAGAGCTGTCTCCACACCTGCCTGGGGAAAGAAATTGTGCTTGTGCTGTAATTAATTTGCTGCAATTAGCTTGTAGCGATTACTAGAGCACACAGTTAGAGGATTTTTGTTTTTCTCTCCTGACAAAAACTCCTCTGCAGCCCCCTGGGTGCCGCCTGGGGGAGGAGGACTCTGGGGGAAGGAGGCTCAGAAGAGTCAGCCCTGCACCCGCATGACTGATGTGCCCTATTTCTGTAAATCATTCTCTCTGTAAAGAGGCAGTTTAGCTTCAGGAACACTGGCAGCTTGTGTTATTACCCAAAACACAATAAATGAAACCACCCCACAGCTACGAAACCCAAGGAGATGTTTACTCATCTGTGAACAACCCATTCTCCTCCGCACACGAAAGGCAGCGATGCGAGAGCGCAAATTAATCACACAGAGCCTCTGCAGTGGCTCCCACCGGCCCCACGGAGCGAAGCAGGTGATGCTGAGGCACCCCTGACCCCTCCCTTGGCGGGACCAGGGGCTCAGGCACAGCCCAGGGGCCGAGGCTCCCTCCCAGCAGAGCTCCAGGATGCAGAGCAGTGAAGGTCAGTCCTCTGCCTCGGCTCCTTCTCTCTGCTCAGACTCCCAGAGCAGGAGAGGGACGAGCTGCTGCTGGCTGCTGGGCACAGCAGCTCCAGCCTCGGCCTTGCATCAAAGTCCACCAAGCAAACAGCTTCTGTCGAGCCTGCAGGAATCCCACCAGCAGGGAAAAAAGGAATTTACCCTTTCATTTCAGTGTTCTTTGCTCATGGAACCATTTGTTTCTCCAGAGACAAAGAGGGAAGGAAAAAGCTCATCCGTTACACAGTCCCTGTGATTCACTGCTGTTGCTCTTTATGTTGACACAAACCATGCTGGAGAAGGTGAAGAAAGTGTGTTTATTTCTGATTGAAGACTGATTACATCACTATCATGGATAATGTAATAGAATAATCTTATGCTCTTGGGAGAAATCTAAGAATAAATATGAAAAAGTAAAATAGTTTGTTTCCACTGTCCCTGAAGATGACTGATGAGTAAGTGCTGTATTTACAGGATAGTTATCATACTCTAGACTCTGTGCTGAATAAATATTGTCCTGAAAGGGTAAAAAAATCCATCGAAATATTTTAACTCACCACAAAATTAAAAAAAAAAATCCATGTATTTGTCCAGAGCGAAGGTTAGTTACATGTTAATTATTGAATCCACACGGGATCATTGTCCAAGGAAGCCTCCTCTCCTGCTGACCCGCTCCTCTCTGCAGAGGCAGCATCAGTGCTTGTCCTCGTCCCACTGACCAGCTACTACTGGTTCTTCAGGCTGCAAGAGAGAACCAAGGCCACAGTCACACTCCATCCTGGTGCTCCCTGTCCCACTCCATCCTGGTGATCCCTGTCCCACTCCATCCTGGTGCTCCCTGTCCCACTCCATCCTGGTGCTCCCTGTCCCACTCCACCTCTGCCCGTGCACTGTCCCCCCGTGCCTGGGCAGAGCTGAGGGGACCCAGCATTGGGCAAACCCACAGTTCTCCACAGAACCACCAAAGAAATGCTTTATGTGATCCAAGGGGAGACTTCAGATCTAAAAAAAAAAATACATATATAAATAAACTCTTTCCATCTAAAGCATGTTTGCAATTTTAAGGACTTTTTTTTTGCATTTTGTCAAAGAAAATCCCCATAGCAATTCAGAAAAAGCATCCTTTCTCTAGATTCTGTACTTGAATTTAAGAGCCTCACAAACCCTGCCCAACCTGCCCCCTCCATGGCCCAGCTGATGAGAATTGGAATTGGTGTTGGCAAGCTCAGGTTTGTGCTTTGAGCACTCAGCCCAGTGTTTGGGCTTTACATTAGAAAAATTAATCTGTACACCTGACACCGTGACACAAAGTTGCACAGGCCATTCTGGGGCTTTCAAATTATGATCAAAACAGAAGATATCAAAGATATCTTATTTTCACTTACATTAAAAGGGAAGGGAGGCAATTTAGATCTATAATGAGAGAAAGTATTACACACTCTCTTCACAGGCAGTGCAATTATTCAGCTGCTCTCTGGAACTGAAACAATGACAAATTAAAATGCCTTTCAATTCTATCTACCTCTTATAACTATTCATCTTCTGGAGCTGCTATTGATCTAAAGGCTTCTTTAGGCATCAGACACCACATATTACAGAAAGCACATGGAAATGTTACTCTTACCAACAAAAGCTGCAGCCACCAAGGTAAGAGCAAACTCATTTGGCTCGGGTGTGCAGTGCATGGTAGGACTCGGGCATTTACCCTAATTTCCAG